AGAGAGAGAGAGAGAGAGAGAGAGAGAGAGAGAGAGAGAGAGAGAGAGAGACGGAGACGCTTGATTAAAAAGGAAAAAAAAATCCATCCACTCACAGGAATCAAACTCTATTCATCTACGTGGAACGGCGAAGCACCTTACTGCTATACCACATACACCAATTCGAAATCTTTGTAACATTTCCTCGTTGTTCTAAATATATCTTAAACTAACCGTTATCAAAACGACAACTTGTTCTGAATTAAGACAAGCTCACCCCCCCCCACGCCTCCGTTCTCAATTTTGCACTAGCTGTCTTGAGTGTCATCTGCACGAAAACCTAGGGCTTCGGTCATCATCGTTCTACTGCTTTCTACGGTCACGACAGTCGCAACTAATTGACGACAGTCTTTGTGTCACAATGCCTTTCAAATAATTCAGACTTCAACAATAGTTAAGGACAACTTGCAAACACTCTAAGTGGTCTTCTTGGGTCGACCTGCATGTTGGCGCTCTTAGATGGATCCAGCGGCTTGATGGCGCTGCCTCAGGCAGACAATGACAGAGTGTGACACTGCAAGCCACTGGCAACTTTTCGGGCTCCAACTCCATCCTGCAGCCATGCCATAGCTCTGTCACCATCAAAGTCTCACAGCTTTCGTCTTGGTGGCATGTTGAAGCAATACTGGATTTTGAGCAAACGGCGGCTTATATTGCCACCAAAGTGAGCACAGTTCGAGACCATACGTCCGTTTATGACGTGCACTAGAAATTTTAACTGAGGAATGTCTCTGGTGTCGCACAGAATTCGATAAAAAACAGCAAATGTGACTAAAATTCCCCCAAGATATCCGTGGAGCACGTGGTGGTTTTGCCCCTTTAGAAAACATTGCAGTACGCATTGGTAACTCATTAACACTCTCAGAGCAAAATTTTTGAAACATTCCTTGCCGTCTTTTTTCCGGATAAAAAAAAAAAACAAAGCTGTCTGTCAAGGTGGTCCTTAAATTTTGTTGAAGGCTGTATGATATCTGTCAAATGAAAATAAAAATATGACATGGAGATACTACAGCGCGGCTGGACCTTACCGAGGCCAATTTCTATTAGGTTTCTAAAACGGCCCTTTCCTGATGCTTAATGACAATTTATGATGTTGGTGTCAGATTGGGCATAAAATTTTGTTATTTTGAGCTTCCACAACTTGGCTTTTGGTGTTTTTGGGCGGGTTGGTTTGAGAAAATTTTTGAACGGCGATAGTACAAAATAGAGTCCATGAATTTCATATATTTTGTGCTTGCTTGAAATATGATGATTGAATCATATTTTTCAACGGGAAAACGTGTTTGGTCCTGCTGAAGTTATGGCAGTGTTGTTGTCTGACCCAGCACTGCCGGGCATGACTGAGATGAAGGCAGTGCCCAATAGCACCTAGTTTTGACCTGAAAGTGGCCACTATGGGGACCATTTCAAAAGGAAATTCTGAGAGTATTATTACAAGGAGAAAAGCAAAAACTCCGCTTAAGGAGGAACAGAGGGGGGTTGGGGGACAGGAGGACAGATCAAAATTGCAAAGAGTAAGGAAGAAACTGAGAGAAAATAAAGAGGCTTAAATGCACAAACACAAGAATGCACACAGAGCACTTCAAACGTATTCCGTCTATGAATTGGATAAGGCCATGTAGTTACGAAAAGTAGAACTCACCCAACAAAGGTCCAATAGGCAACTGTGTCTTTGGGGGAAAGTGTCTCGTAAACTTTTGCCCCATTGTCAGGGCTAGGAGATCGTGAACCCTCAGTACAGTGTTCTTTTTTTTTTTAGTCTTCTACCTTTTTACAAGAAGAGTTTCATTAAGGAAGGACCGTGGAAACGGGCTCCTCCTTTTCTGAGCCCTGAAGACATTTGATTGGCTGTTAGGTTACTATAGTTGTAAGCGGTGACAGCAGTGATTGGATAATAAACGAGCAAGCCGCCAATTTGATCACTCTATTGCGTGCGATCAAACGGTTTCAAGTGCGTATTTAGTTATTTAAAAAACTTTACTTTGGGATAGAGTTGGGGTATGGGGCTGAAGCCCGTGAGCCCTTCACAACTCACCGCCACTGGTAAGGCATAGTACCAGCCCCCACGGTGACTCCGGGTCTACTGAAGACGTCATGCATAATCAAATCCGGGTCTACTGAAGACGTCATGCATAATCAAATTAGGGTGTGGGAGAGGGTGTGTGTGTGTGTGTGTGTGTGTGTGTGTGTGTGTGTGTGTGTGTGTGTGTGTGTGTGTGTGTGTGTGTGTGTGTGTGTGTGTGTGTGTGTGTGTGTGTGTGTGTGTTTCAGTGTATGCGTGTGTGGGGGGGGGGGTATCTTACTTTTATCCTAATTCTTTCCTTGTCCGTAACTCGTCCCACAGCAGCGGAAGTGGGCGGAGAGACCAGTTGGCGAGGTCCCCCCTCCACCAGAGTACCAATCACTGAGAACCGCCCTCAGAGACGCTGAGGATTTGACCTACTCGGATTTCGTCAAGGTTAGTATCCTCTTATCGACGACAAGGTGGATGTATTTTTAAAAAAAATGATTATCATCATCATTGCAAGTTTGAAAAGAAAAGCAAAAAAGTAGATAGATCTAGAGGCTGAATAAATGTGATGGCATTATAACAGTAGTTATGTTCAGTGGCGTCGGTAGCCTTGTGGTTAGGCTACCGGACTCGTAATCGTGAGATTGCGCGTTCGGGGGTTCGAGCCTCAGCTCGGTCCGACGTTGTGTCCTTGGGAAAGGCACTTTACACGAACTTCCCACTTGGCTCGGTCCTATCGGAGACGGATGTCAAATTAGGAGGTCCCGCCTCTTAAATAACCTAATAGTGTTCAAAGGGGCGTTAAACTCATACCATTTATTCATTTTTCAGTTATGTTCGACGTTTTGTCCTATCGAGCTTCACCAGGAACGTGGTAAAAATAACAACACTATATATATATATATATATATATATATATATATATATATATATTAGATTCTCATTTTTTCGAAAAATAAATTGTTATAAAAAGTCTTGAAATAACAATGATGAAATGAATCAACCATCTATATACTTAAATTTGAAATTTCTTAGCTTAATTCCGTCAAATTAGAGCGTCACGGCAACTTTTGCGCTGGCGTCCTAGGAAAAAGTTCTCTCCTGTTACCAACAGAAATCATACAGCTGTTTTACTGGAATAGGTTTTGGGGGGTTAATGTACTATATACACAGTAGCAAACTGTGGGTCCACTTATTACATGATGCGTTATGGTGTGTGGGAGAAAGATGAAGCGAAAAGACATGAGAAAAGGAAAAAACTATGGTTGGTATAATTAATACAATACAAGCTCTCATACTCGTATCGTTATTAATATTATAATAACTATTTGTTTAGTTTTAGTTTTAGTAAGTTAAAGTTTTAAAAGATGATGATGATGGTGATGATGATGATGATGATGATGATGATGATGATGATGATGATGATGATGATGATAAATAGCAATCATGATAAATATAGCACAATGTATTGTCTAGTGTACATCATCGCTGAACAGACTGTTCTATAGGCGCTTTACAATCTTTTTAGATACCCCACCAAACTCATCCCGGGAAGCATACAGTGCCAGTAACAATAATACTATATGTGAGGCAGCGTGGTGGAATCAGGCTCTCGTTTAAACAGTCAAAGTAAAGAAACTTGCATTTTTCCGTAGGTTTGTGAATTTTTATCAATTTTTTATTTCTGGCTCAACACCTTACATGCCCATTAAATAACTCATTTCTGAGTGGATTTTTCTGAAAAACGATTAAAGGCATAAAAATATAAATTTTCAGAACCACGGACTCTTTAGCTAAGGAAATAACTAATCTTTGGCTGCCATTTTCTCACTAATTTTACCTCTGAAAACAGGTGACCCCCACCTCCTTCATTCCCAAATATTTCGACTTGTATTCAAGATAAATGGGTATTTTTTTTCATCCAAATAAAGACAAGTGAACAAGCTTTAAGATCATACCCATAACTCTACATGCCCAAGTATTGACGAGAGCCTGATTCCACCACGCTGCCTCACATAACATTATTATCATCATTATCATTACTATTAATATGTGGGTGAATTGTATCACAGGGGACACCTGGTTAAAATTAAAACAACGATCACGGTTACACACTCACATACTCACATGCAGTTTTGCCAGGACGTGGAGGAATCAGGCGCTCGTCATTTTTTGGGCATACAGGGTTATTGGTTTCATCTTAAAGCGTGTTCATTTGCCTTGCCTTCTATGAAAGAAATACATTTTATCTTAACAAACAGGCCGAGATATTTTCTATTGAAGGAGGAGGGGATAGCCTGATTTCAGATGGAAAATAGGCGAGAAAATGGCGCAGAAGTTTGATTATTTCATCAGATTGTGAGTCCATGGAAACGGGAAAAAATACATTTCTGTGCCTTTAATCCACGTTTTACAGTAAAATCAACACTTAAATGTGTTCGTAAATGGACATTAAAGGTGATGAGCCAAAAAACGAAAATTCTGTTAAAATTGCCAAACTGGCGAAAAAATACTAGTTTCTTCAATTTCATTATTTTGACGAGCGCGATTTCACCACGCTGTCTCACAATTTCCCTCCTGCAGAAGCTGACTGCCGTCAAAGACGACTCTATGGGCGCCTGCTTCATAGCTGACCTTGACCCGGGCTTGACATTGGCTCCTGAAGAAAAAGCTAAAATAGCAGCAGAAGAGGTAAGCAGTTTTGTAAAAGTAAAGTGTTACCCCCCTCCCCCACCCGACACGTACACACGCAC